CAACCAGGTCGCGGACATTAATGAATATAATATCAAATGATAGATAATAAGCCAACTTAACATTGTATATAGTCATTTTATTTAAATTCAATGGGAAAAAATGGGACCTAAAAATGATTCTGGTATATTGTTGTGGGGTTCTGCGGCTAGCATTCAGGATATTTTTATTCTTCAAAAGAGAGCTGTCCGTGCTCTATATAATTTACGGTCTAGGGAATCTTTCAGAGAAATATTTAAAGAAATAAATATTCTGACTGTTGCCTCTCAATACATTTATGAGAATATTATGTACACAAGAAAACATAACGATTCCTTCACAAAAAATAGTAGTGTTCATAATCTTAGCACAAGAAATAAAAATAAACTTGCCGTTCCAAGCTTCAGACTTCAAAAAACCAGATGATCATTTCTGGGTAAATGTATTGCTATGATCAATAAAGTTCCACAAAATGTAATTGACCTACCCATAAATAAATTTCAAATTTATGTAAAGAATATACTTATGAGTAAAGGCTATTATAAAGTTGATGAAGATTTTAAGGAACGCAATGCATGGAATTGATAGCCTTCGCTTTGTGCTATAAAGACTAATTATATGTTCAACTTATGTCCTACAGACTTTGAAAGTTGTATTTATTATTGTGATAATACATATTATTTTGGTAATGACAATATTTAGTAAATGTCATTACTTATGATAAAAAGCTGATAAGTTTCTTTCGCTTGTTCTTCTTGTCAGCTAAAAGACGTCCTGAACAAGTGGTAGGGGAAAAAAATTTTTTTTGGACGATTCAAAAGTGCTTGTAATAGCCTACTTGAATAAAGATATTTTCATTTCATTTCATTCCTCACGTTCTTCACTATTGAAACCCAACGCAACAAGGACTAGAGTAGCATTACAAAGTATTATTTCTCGAGTATACATGGACTCTGTACAGTATTTGTGCGGTGTTTTTAGATAAAACGATCATTGATATTGATGACGTTGAATAATATTTAATAATAACATAATAACGGTTTAATAATAACACCCGTAATTATTATATTGTTCAATCCCAATGTCCTTTGCTGCCTTAGAGACCGTTTCAGTTTTATCTACTGTTCAAATTCCTAAACGTTACAATCCTCAAGGAATTTGAATCTTGAGATTCCATCTCCATAAACTTCTCGCAATGACTCCTCTTTTACGTTTAAACTGTTAGTCTCGGGAATCACTTTCTAGTTCGCCTTTTATTGGATATCCATACAAATTTTGAACTCCTTTGTTTCCCCCTTAGGCATAGAATTTCCACAAATACTGAATTATACTTCATTCATTATAGCATTAGACAGAATGAAAATAAGGTTCTTTTTATGGTATACTTTGTGATAAAATGTCAACAATCATGTTACTCTTAAGACTCACGGCTAATTTGCTAAATATCCACTTAAATACCAGCTGCTATACTTGAACGTTGTCTTTTAAACTATATATTAAACAAATTTATGAGTATTTGACTGACTTAAAACATTTTATAATTATTACAATAAAAAGTGTTCATCACAAAGAACCTAAAGAAGCAGGATTAGATAGTTTCAGCCCGATTCTCATGTCTCTATAACTCTACCAAATTTAAAACGTTGCCTAATCCGTTCAAACGTTTCGGTAGTACAGCTTTTTTTTTTTGTCAGATTGTGATTTATTCATAATAGTCAAAATACGTAATCTCGGATTGTCATTCATTGTGAATGCTACTGTCTTTCTTGTTGTTTTGCCGTTTTCCGTGATGTTATTGTTTTATTTTTGTTGTTAAGTTCTACCCTCAAACTTTGACATTTCAGGAAGTTTTTCCAATGTCTTCATCAATAGTCTAACTAATTAATTACATTTACAATTAGAATTTATCAGAATACACAGATAGTTTCAGTTTTAATTCCATGTTGGCTTGGGACTAAAAGATGAATTTATAAAATGCTGGCCTCATCTCAACCCCGAGGTATCATAAAAAATGGATAATTGCCCAGCTCTTTCAGACTACCTAATGTTCAAAGTTTCAACAAAACTAATATATATTTTTTAAGTTTATCTTGAAAATAAAATGTTCTGCACTGCTGCTTGTATGATCCTCTTTTTTCTATTTTTTCTGTTATAGTGAATGGAGTGTAGGTACTATTATTTAGTAATAATAATAACTTCAAAACTGTCTGGCCATACAAACTTTCAACCCTTATTTCACCCCCTTAGGTATATAATTGCCGTTAGAACAGGTATTTACCCGTTTACTTACTCACGCGCAGCATATTCATTACTTCAAAATCATCTATGTATGTAATAAACCACCTTAATATCTTTATTAGCCTATGATAATATTTAGTTACTATTTCATCCCTTAGATGTATACTAAAATGCATACAACCCTAATGAATCATTGTGTCTGCATTTTCGCCCTATAGTCGGCGCGCCCGTATCCCGAGCGTTTTAGTCTCATTCCAACCTCCGTGGTAGCTGTTAGTTCCACAATTGAATACTAGGGGAAACGGTATAGTTATTGGCCCTCAGATAGTAATTGGCCAATTAAATTTAATTATTAAAAAACTACCAACTAAGCTAACAAAGGTAAGATACAGAAAGTTTATGTTGGCAACACTGTTACTAACTGTCAAATAACGCCAAAAAAGTTTTGTTAGGTGTAACGGTCTTTTTGTGATTTGTGATTTTGTGGCACTGGAGCAAAAATAAGTAAGTTTAATTTAAATTTTGTAAGACATTAGATATTTTAAGTATGATAATTTTAGAAACATGAATGTAGTAAAGTAACTGAAAACCTATAAAATATGTAGTTTGTATGTTTAATTAGCGGATTTAAGGTGTGATATAAGAAAAAATTGATTATAACCTAAAATATTGTTATGGCCAATAACTGTCACTGTATTTTTTTCAATTTATAGTAATTGGCCTCTTATGCCCATTACTATATTTATTCTATACTTAGTAAAGAGCGTTTCTAATAGAGAGTTATCGTCTTATTTTTAAAATTATGCGGCCAGTTCAATCTCCATATATTTCAGAGGACTGTAAATAGTTATTGGCCTAGGCCAATTACTGTGCCACTTACATTACTAACCAATACAAAAATATGCCAATTACTGTGTAACTTTTTACGTATTTTTTAAAATTCAATGATCGTTTTTTTCTACTCCAATAGGTAGACTGGTAAAAAACACACCATGCCAAAAAAACCCCAATACACCAAAGAAGCTCTTGATGAGGCATTGGAAAAAATTAATGACAAAACGATGTCTTTGAGAGCAGTTGTAAAGAAGTACAATATTCCAAGAGCAACTCTACAGTTCAAATTAAGGAATCCTACTTCGAGATCTCAATTTGGGCCAATGCCATACTTAACTTATGAAGAGGAAGATACAATTAAAAACTGGTTAGTCAGAATGTCTCGCAAAGGCTTTCCGAGAAAAGCAGATGATGTTCTCGATACTGTTCAAAAATTTTTGACTGCAAATCCACGCGATACTCCGTTTAATAACAATAGGCCTGGTCAAGGCTGGCTGAGAGCTTTTTTAAAACGTCATCCCGATATCAGTCAAAGAACCAGTGAGGGCGTTTCTAAAGCTAGTGCCTGCGTGGCTGAGAGCGATATAAAAAAATGGTTCGCAGAAATCAAGGATTATTTTACTACTGAAAATCTATTGGAGGCCATTCAAGATCCACAACGTGTTTTTAACGCTGATGAAACAGGTTTTCAGCTTTGTCCTTCTACAGGTAGAGTTCTTGCAGCTAAAGGTGATAAAAATGTTTATGCCGTAGAACAAGGAAACACCAAAGAAAATATCACATTACTGTTCACATTTTCTGCTGATGGAAGAACATGTCCTCCGTTAATAGTATTTCCTTACAAACGACTCCCGGAAAAAATTGCGTCGTCGGTGCCGCCACATTGGGGTATCGGACGGAGTGATACAGGATGGATGACTGCAGATGTTTTTAATCAGTTTGTCACTGACATATTGGCGCCATACCTTGAGGAAAACAACATCAGTAAACCAGTTATCCTATTTATCGATGGACACAAAAGTCACATTACTTTACAGCTCAGTTTAACGTGTAAGGAACTAGGAATCGAAGTTGTTGCTCTTTATCCTAACACTACTCGTATTACTCAACCGGCAGATGTATCAATATTTGGGCCAATCAAGAATATGTATCGCAAAGCAGTTCGGCAATTTCAAGCAGAAAACGTGGGAGAGGCTGTGACAAAGTTAAATATTGCTAAGATTTTAAAAACAGTCGTTGATAATTTAAAGTCTGATAGTATAATCAATGGATTTAGAACGTGTGGGCTATGTCCTTTTAACGAGAATGCTATTGATTACTCTAAATGTTTAGCTGCAGAAAAATCTGATGAAGCCGCCAATATCGATAATAAGCATATGACTATAAAAGACTTCAAAAATATTGTAGGAGTAGATATGATCAACAAGTTGAAAGAACTGCAATCTAAAGGTACATCTTTAAACGATAAATCTCCTACACTATACAAATTGTGGTGCTTTTTTCAAAGTGATTATCCTCAGAATGAATCAAACAGTGTTGAAATACAGACTGCAAATAATATAACCACTAATGTAAATTTTTCCTGCGAAGATAATGTGACAAAAGTACAAATTACTATGACACCCACTAAAACTCCTGTAGATTTGACCACGCCTAGTACCTCATATGATACTTCTTTTATCAGAAAATCAATAAATGATTACCTATCAAATGCGCCGGAAAATCGTCAGAAACATAGAAATCAAAACATAGATCAAAAAACATAGAACAAATCAGAAACATATCAAAATTCGTCAGAAACATAGAAAAAAAGCCGTTTGTCATTACATCCGAAAAGTTTAGAGCAGCTATTGAGAAAAAGGAAATTGAAAAGCAACAAAAAGAGAATGAAAAAATAGAAAGGAAAAGAAAAAGAGAAGAACAAGCAACCGCAAAGAAAGAACTTGCTCTTATGAAGACAAAAAAAGGTAAAGGTGTAGGGAAGAAAACAAAAAAGGAAAACCTAAGTGATGGATACGACAAAAAAAATGAAACGATTGAAATTAAAAATTTAAATGATGCCAATGAGGTAAACGAAAACAAGGAAATGAAAGGTGAAGAATGTAGTGATGGAAAAGATAATTTAAATAAAGATAGAAATAAACCAAAGATATTACAAAACCTTTTAGTAGTGACCTGTGATTCATGCCATCGTTTAGCAGTTAAACATAAGTCCTTATTATGTAGCTCTTGTCAGAAATCATACCATCCTCAGTGCATTCCTAATAAACACCAGGAACACATTCCGGATCAAGATGAGCTTTCTGATTTTATATGCCATAAATGTTATTTGTTACACGATGATTCTGAGTTGTCTGAGGATGAGAGTACTCAAGAGGATATAGGTATATTTTAATTATTGAAAATGATTATTTTTGATGTTTAAATTTATTTTATTTTATGTTTCAAAGATGGCTAATTACTGTACGATCTCAAGGCCAATAACTGCTATAGTGCGGCCAATAACTGTAAAATTTATATTTTTGTTTTTAATTTGATTTTATTTAGACAATATATTAAAATAATGTAGGTAAACAAAGAAAGTTAATAAATACAGTTCTATAGATTCCGTGAAACAACTTTTTATTTATTACAAATATTTATTTATTTTTTTACTTCCCGCTTTCTACATTGAAGTCGCTTAACTGGCCAATAACTATACCGTTTCCCCTATTTCCTTTTTTTTTATTTGATTTTTTCTTACTCTAATGGAGGGGCGCGCTCAAACAGTACGAATGATATATGACAGTGGAACGTGTTGCACTCCAAAATACTTGTATCTATCCTGATTTGACTATTCAACACCAATTGAGACCGCTCTGATTTCACGAAAAAGACACCTCCGACCCTCCAACTACATGAGCTCTTTTATTATCAAAACAAAATAGATATGTTTTTTCGTGAAATATATAATACTTGTGAACTTACTTCCATTCTCTGTAAAATTTTGTAAAAAGTAATAATCACATCCATCGCAGTCAAGTAAGTAAAAAAACAGCATTTTGAGTAAATCAACTTTGAAGTCATTTAAGGTTTTGGTTTCCAACGCTGTAAAAATATTTTTATGCTTTTTACACTTTTATATTTTATTCATATTCTCTAAGAAAGGGCAATAAAAATAGTTTTGACTTATATTTTAGCAGTTGCAGCAATTAAATTAGTTAGGCGTTACAGGGTGTTTCATTTTTTTCGTGCATATTACACGTCCAGCCTTAAAATCTAAACTTATCCATAAAATATCTACATAATTTATAACGGAAATCAAAAGTTATAAAGTTAAGCTTGCATGCATATAACATTTACTGATCAAAGTAGCGTAATTAATAAAATATAAGTAAAAAACTTTGTAAATTCTCATTGCCATCGGTGTCCATTTACTATTATCCTCTTTATATTTATATATTACTCAAAAACTAGATTAAAAACTGGAAACAAAGTTAACATACTAAAAATCTATATTAAAATTACAATGTTTTAATCTAAAATTAGTGCCGTTATCAAAGAAAAATCATAGTTTTTTTATATCATAAATATTTAACATTTTTTTTTCTGATTACCATCGGTTTGTGAGGAAATCTAAATTATACTCTGTGTATCATCTTTAACACTGCTACACCACTACCAAGTCCCGCGTACATCACTCAGTCGGCCAGCAAACGTTGTAGAAGACGTACGCTTGTTCATGGTAAAACAATATTTTCGTTAAATATTGCGCGGGAGTTGATTATTCTGGAATTGTTCTCTTTCTTATCGTCCGTATTACTAAGTGAGTATTAATAATTTTGATAACCATATTGCAAATTTACATTTCTTTGGATTACCTTTGTTGTTTGAAATATACACTAGTTTCGTAATTTTGATATCCTATAAAAAATCTTGAATTAACTATCCAATCCTCATTACCATCTTCCTCATTGCCTTCGTTTACCATCGTTTTTTAGAGCGACGGTAATGAGATCAACACGAAGGCAATTAGAATTTAGTCCGAATAATAAATTTCTTAATCCATATATATTTTTTACATTTTGTGTTTTCATTATTAAAATTATTAAATTTAATAGAGATTAAAATTCAACCGTTTAAAATGTGAATGTACTTACATTCTATTTATTTTCACAGATGACCAAGCATAAAAATTGCCGAAGAAAACCAAACAAACAATAGAGCAGAAACGAGAGCGTGATCGACTACAAAAGCGAAAAAAATATGCAGAAATTAAGGAAGATCCTGAGAAGTATGTAGAACAAGAGGCAAAAGAAAGAGCAAGATACCTCAAAAGAAAAGAACAGAAAAAAATTAAAGACGCACTAGAAATGACACCGAGACAATTAAGAGCTCAGAGAAAAAAATGGAGAGTTAATTCGAAAAGTCATTATGAAAGAAAAAAGAAAGAAAAAGCTATACAACAACTATTACTTGAAAATTCCCCACCAAATAGTGACACTGAAGTACTTCCAGCTGCTGATCAAGATCCTCTCGATAGACCTGCTCTAAATATTCCTAAGCCATTCCTTGATTGTATGGATCGTGATACTTGTCAACAATGTCTAAAAAAAGATATTCTTCTTAGAAAGTTTCGCTACCGACATAAAAAAGAGATTGGAATTTTGAAACTAGAACTAGAAAAAACAAAGAAACAGAAAGATGCCCTTAGAAAAACGTTTTACAGAATAATGAAGGATAAGACAAAAAGAGAAAATATATCTACTGAAGAAAAAATAGAACATTTGATAGAAAATGTGAACACAGAAAAACGTGAGGAAATTAAAAAGAAATTAGTATTTGGTGAAATTCTGTCAAGAAGTATCGGGGAAGGATATAAGTCCTTGAGAAAAAAAGACAAGAAAGAATTCTCTAATATCGTTATGTCTGAAAAAGAAAATTTTAAAAAACATAAGCTCTTAACAAGGACAAAATATTCACGGTAAGAGATAAAAAAAAAATAGAACAGATAAGAATGAAAACTTCATAGAACAACAAATTTCGGAATTTTTTGACGATGACGCCTTGACTAGAATTGCAGCTAATAAAAAAGAATATGTAACTAAAAATAAAACAAGAAAGCAGAAAAGATACTTGTTAGATACATTAACCAATCTATACAAAAAGTTTAATCAATATTCAAATATCAAGGTAACGTATCAAACTTTTTGTAAATATCGACCATTTTGGGTATTATATCCAAAGGAATCAAATAGAAATACATGTGCTTGCAAAGTGCATATTAATTTCAATTTATTGGTAAAATGCCTTAATATAAATAAAATATTAAAAGAAGTTAACGGGACAGGTATTTTAGAAAGTTTGTGTTGCAACTCTAGTGATGAAAATTGTTTGAATCGATCATGTATGATATGTAAATTAAAAAATTTAAATAACGCTGAATTCCGGAATGATAAAAAGATAAAATATCAGCAGTGGTGTACTTGTTCTGAGAAATATTACATAAAAGAAACTGAAATAACAAAATTGGTAACAAAAAAAGTAACAATTTATGATTTCCCAAGAAATATAATAATCAAATTAGAAAACTGTCTTGAGGGCTATACGAAGCACTGCACTAATATTTTAACTCGATATAAAAATATTAAAGAGCTTAAAAACAATATTACTCCTCAAGAAGTAGTGATACATGTGGATTTTAGCGAGAACTACTGCGTTAAGTATAACGAAGAAATCCAAAGTTATCACTTTGGATAACTTTGTGGGAATAGGAAGCAGATAACATTTCACACATGTGCCATCTACTTGATAGATCCCGAAGTTGGCATTCAAAAACAATATAGCTTTATTACTATAAGTACTCAACATGATGCTGCAGCAGTCTGGGCACATTTGATACCGACGATTGGGTATGGTATGGAAATTTCAAACGAAATAAATACCGTACATTTTATTTCTGACAGTCCAACAAGTCAATATCGAAATCGTTATATATTTTATTTGATTACCCAACTGTAGCGTGATTTTCCTCAACTGAAAGCTGTAACTTGGAACTACTTAGAAGCCGGACATGGCAAAGGGGCACCAGACGGTATTGGTGCTGTTCTAAAACGAACAGCGGATCAAGTAGTCCGTTTTGGCAGTGATGTGGACTCATTAGAAACATTCGTAGCTTGTCTAAGACCTAGAGTAAACATTGAGATTCGCATTGTTACTAAAAATGATATCGAAGCAAGAAGTTTTCCCACGGTTTTAAAAGCAATAAAAGGTACAATGACGGTGCACCAAGTCCTTTGGTCATTCGGGAGTTCTATAATGAGTTTAAGGAAACTAAGTTGTGTTCTGTGTGGCAATAAAGATATTTGCAGTCATGGCAAACATTTAGGCTGTTATGATATTCCTATAATTGAAGACGTTAATAATAACCAATTTCAGAATTTCCTTGATGAAAATACAACACCAGAATTAATCCAAGAAATTAACGATGCAGGACTTTCAGTTTCGCGTTCTGACCCATTGAACAACCACGAGCTTCGGTATTCAAACAGGCCATATTCACCGAAAGTCAAAATATTATCGGATATTAATGTGACTGACTAGGAAAATAGAAAATTTTTTATTGATAAAAGTGAATCGGTTTTGAATAATTCATATCAAACAGATTTTGAGAAATTCATTCTATATAACAGAGAAAAAGAAGATGATGCCAAAGAAACTGAGTTGTGTGAAAAGAAAAACAAAAATAAACTAATTAATTTTTGGAGTGATGATTCCGATGAAGATATTTTCTAATATGAAAGATACAATTTGTTTAAATTTTTTTTAATTAAAATATTTTATTTTTTGTAACAGAGTCTGTTTTTAGTTTCTAAGGAAGAATATTATTGATCTCTTATTTCCAAATAAAATATTTAAAAAAAATGCATATTAAAAATTATTATTTTATAACAGACTTTTTATCATTACCTTCTATTTATATTCACTACCTTCGTACTATTTCCCTTATTGTTATTATTTGAATAATTTTAATTTCATTATTTCCTCCTCCAGAAAGGTAGAAACTACAGAAACTTGAAGAGTTAACGATATATTAACAATATTAGAAAAAAAAACAAAATTATTCGACAATTAATTTGGATTATGATAATGTCATGGAATTTGTACGAACTACGCGAAATACCCTACAATTCTTTCATACAAAAATTGTAATGCGCCCGCCCTGCTGCCTCTTTGGTTATATGAGTTATGCGTTGTAACACTCGATGTGTTGTAAACTGCGTTATTTATTGCAAATGTTTGTTGCATTTGCTTGCCGTTAAACAGAATTAAGTTTGGGAACAAGGAAATATTATAAGTCGTTAAAATGACTTTAAAAATAAATCAATTGATTCACACTTTTCTGCGCGTGGTTTT